TGAGTTACGAATGTGGCGGATGGGAAGTGTTGTTGTGAGTTGCCTGACGGATGGGCTGCGTGCATTGATTGATAAATATATAATATTATTGTGATATTTAAACAGGTAGATAGTCATACTTTTAGGGGAGATGCTGTCGAAATTTCGATAGAACCTAGACTAGTTTTAATTAATAACATAATAAATAAGCTTATTCAAATAATTTCTATAATTTGATACATAATAAATAAAGTGCTTTAATTACTTTATCATTATCATTATTATTCATTTAATTATTCAATTATTTATTAAATTTATTCAATTTTTATTTATTTTCATTAATCATTATTTAATTGTTATATATTTATTTTATCGGTTGTTATTGTTAATTGATTATTTATTTAATTAATTTAATTGCTAATTTGAGAATGGATGTCTAATTGTGCATTACATTACTGATGTTTCAACTGATTAATATGTCTGCATTTAATTGCAATGTTTGATAATTGTGTTGTGATAATGCTTAGCCTTGTTTGGTGGAAAATTGGATTGAGTGGGTCACCATGGGTTTTATGAGATACCATACCGTTTATGGATCTGATTATGATTACCGCGTTAGCCGAGGTAATGGAAGATCGGCGCCCCGTGTGCCCTATTGTTATGATCCTGTATGATAATGAAAAACCACAGGTGTGGCTTCTTTATTGGGCGCACTTGAGAATCTAGAATTTGATCGGCAGGCCTGCAGGATGGGCCTCCTGTTGTGAGCGCCTGATGGTCTTAGATTGAATGGAGAACGACCGGGTTTTGCCTCCTGTTGGTATGGAAAAGAAAAGAGGAATGGAAAAACAATGAGAGGGCTGGTCAGTGAGGATAGACCGTCGAACCAAGAATGGGGGATCGGCTCCCTGTGCACACCGTGAGAGGATGGCCATGTGGGAGGACCGACTCATCGGGGGTTTTCGGTGACTCCACGAACCATTTCCAACGTGATTGATTATAGAAGATGTTAATGATTGTGAGTGCTGGTGCAGTGCCATTTGTGTGACTGGCTGCGTGAGCATATAACTAGTCGGATACTAGATTGATATGTTAACACATTTTGTGTGACGCGTGTGTTTGCAATATTATTACTCCTCCCTTAGAAAACTCAACCATGTGCTTTGTTTATCAGGAAGTAAGTTTCTCTTTAATTCGGTTTAAGCTATGTTTCTTCGCCGCAGGGCTATAAAGAAGTTTTCCTAGTTCCATAATTATTTTGCTATGTTACTATATGTATAAGAAGCTATGTATATCAAACAGTTAGTGACTCCGCAGTTGTAGGATTTACGTACATTCAGTCGTGTATAGACAAAATAATTATGTGAACCCATATTAAAAATGTGATGTATTGTTAATTAGGCCCGAACTGTGGAATGTTGTAGCTGATAAATTTAGGCCGAGATTTAATAAAATCTTGAGGTTTATTTTCCTATAGATATGGGCTAAATGTTTAAAATTATATTGAGATAATAAATTTTTAGTGTTTTAGGCTTACTACGGGCCTCGGGAGCCTTAAGTTTATCTGGGCCCTAATGCCGGTCCGGCCCATGGAATCGGGTCATGACAAATTAAAAGGGCTGTCGGACCACATTTAATATTCACACATGCAAAGTTTGGAGGTGAAAGGTTCAGTTTAGAAAACAGTGTAACATTTATATTAAAAACAACCAGCTGTATCAGAAACAGACATCTGTATTAAATCAGAAATTGCTTTTTAGATCAGAAAATACTTTTTGCAAAATTTCATTTAATAGCTACCAAGAATATTTACTCTAAAGATATTTTAGATGGGAAAACGTGAAGAGTAAAGATTTTGGCTATATCCTCTCCTCTAAATAAATTTATTGCAAAAACATTTTCAAAACGATTTTGAGAGAGATAAATAGATTTGTTCTTATAATATCATTTACTCTCTATTCACAATAATTTGTCCTAAAACTTATTATAATACTAACCAATAGAAAATATCTTTCATTAATCTTCATGGTCTTTAAATAAAAATCTTGGTTTGTGCTTATAATATCATTTACTCTCTATTCTACAATAATTTCCTAAAACTTATTATAATACTAACCAATAGAAAATATCTTCATTAATCTTCATGGTCTTTAAATAAAAATCTTGGGATGTAGGAACTTCAATTCTTCAATAGTTTTCAACAATAATTTCTGCATAAAATAATATTAGCACATACAAGAATATTAAATTTATTTCTTTTGCGTAGTCATCAAATTCTCAAGATAAAATTGACCCTTGAGCCAACAAAAATAAATAAAATAGATGGAGTATTTTTGACTTTATTTTTGTTCCACTCAGATGACGTTTTTAGAAAATCAAAAATAATATTAATTTCTCATTCCATTCTTTTTATATAGGAGAAATTTTCATTTTAGGTGTTCTTTTTATATAAAGAATTTTGCCTAATTTGGTAACTTTGAAAACAATGCTAATATGAAATGCGTATTTTATCATTATCTTAGTCTTTTGTGAAGCTTTTAATGTGAAAAATTCTCAAGATAGTGGCAGATAAATGTATAGATGTGCATTTAATATGAAAAAATTTTAGAGGCTTAATTATAAATATACTCTCAACTATGCGACTTGTTGCAAAATCAACATAAAACGACCTTTGTACCTCGGGTACTTCCATTTAGAGACTTAGATATATTGACACACCAATTTAAAAATCAGACCATAAAAAGGATTAAAGTAATATTTAACGTGGGACCCACTAGTTTACCTTGGGTTAGCTTAACCCAAGAAAGCCAAAACTCACCGTTTAAGTAGAACTCCCTTAACCCAAATAGGTGAATGTTGTAAACGTTTATTATTCTTTCCCCTTTCTTTATATCAGGCTGTGACTTTGCCAAATTTTTTCTCTTGCTATTCTCAAGTTTTCCATTTGGATTCGCTTCACTCTACTACCTTTAGTTAGCTCCTTATATCTTGTAATATTTATGATTTTTGTTTAGACGAATTTGGGTGATTTTTATTTTTGGTGGAGTTAAGGTTTATGATTAATTTCAGCCAATTTTTTTGCACTAATTTTGTTTTTGATTTTATATATATAAAGGGACGTTGGAGTTTGTTACTAATTATGGATATGCAATATCACTTTGTGTAGATGGTCAATATTTACTCTTACTTTACAGTGATTGGATTATAAATTTCTAATCTTTAGAAAGCAAACAAAGAACAAACAGTGGCTTATATATGCAATTCTTATTTTTACAAGTGTCTCTACATGGTTAAAGTTAATTTCTTTGGACTTTGAAATTTCAAAGAACTAAAACTATGACATTGAAATCAACGGATGAACAGAGAAAGATAGATTAAAGAAATCAAACAACAAAATAGAGTTGGTCATTGCTTACCAAGTTGTTCTCTGAATCGTCGTTGACAAACAACCAAATTATGCCGCTTTATTAAACAATGAAATAATCTCTCTTTAGGTAAGCAGTAATTTTCGTTGAATGGAAGCAAAATTTGCGAAGGAGAGAGTTTAAAAGCAGAGTATGTTTGTATAACTATAAAAGATGAATTGTTTATTTTGGGCTAAGGGAAAAGGAGTAAAACGGGGAGTTTTGGCTTCATTGGTTAAGCTAACCCAATATAAAGTAGTAGGTCCTATATTAAATATCATTTTAATCTTTTTTATGGTTTGATTTTTAAAATGGGGTATCAATATATCTAAGTTTTTAAATAAGAGTGTCCGGTGTACAAAAATCGTTTTAAATGATTTTGCAACAAGTTGCATAATTGAGGGTATATCTATAGTTTAAGCCAATTTTAGAAAATAAGTTGTTTCTACATTAATTTCCATCGAAAAAAGTATGCTCATATATGCAATATGAGCGTAGATTAAAATAGAATTTAAATAAAAAAAATTATAAAATTTCAAATTGACCACATTAAAAGAATTCTTACAGACATCGTCCAGATATTTAAAAAATTATGAGTATTTTAATTACACAAAATGAATTAGAGGAAAAAAGAAAAATTTAGAATCCAGATAGTAGAACCATTTTCTCTACCAGTTGTGAAAAGCTAAAAAGTGTCAAAAAAGAATAAATTTGCTTGACTATCTTCGGCCTTTAACCTAAATTGTGAGTGTCAATTATCAATAACTGAATTTAAATCTAGAAATAGAAAATCTTGGTCAACCCTAATCCTGTTTGTTTCCCTTGTCTTATTACGTGTAATCACGCGCCTGCACTGCAGAGCCAATTACAAAAATATCAAACATCATCTCTGCTTCTCACTTCAATCAATATCATCTCTCTTTTTCTTTGTCAGTCTTTCATTAGTTCTCTCCTATAGCTTAAAGCTTTAGTTCATCAAAGCATTGAGAAGGGAAAGCTCAAACGTAAAGTAGTAGTAATTGCTGTTCTTCCTTTATTTTCTAAAGCTATATCTTTCTTTCTTTTATTTTGTCCCTTTCAACAGATCTCTCCAAGCTTTATCTTTCTCTTTAGGTCTCTGCTTTCTCTCAGGAGAAAGTGGAAATTTTTACAGAAAAGATGTACTAACTTTCTGTTTCTTTGTTAATCATTGTTTAATGGTTTTGGATTTCTTAGTTGAGAATGAATAACGGGTTTGGTTTGAACAAGTCTTAGGGTTTTTCGTTTTGTTTTTTACCCTTTGATTATTCCAATTTCAACACTTGGACTAGTACAAAATTGCCCTTTCCATGACTGCAAAGCTTCAAGAAAAAAAAAAGGTAAAAAAAATATAATATTTGATATCGACTGTCGTTTGATTCGACATTTTATGCGTTTTAGCGAAAAGTAATGCTAGGCTTTTGTAAGAGTTGAATTTGGCAAATTTCTTAGTTGAATTTGGGTTGAAGTCTTGATCGGGTGAGGTTTTGACATATTTCTGTTCAAATTCGAAGGCTTTCAAAGTATATGACTACACAAATCTATTTATGTAGTTGAAGAAGGTTGGTTGTAGTTTTAGTTGTTATTCTTGTAAGAAAAATGGAGCAAAGTGAGGGAGAAGGCTGGAGAGAATTGATGAGGAAGATGCTTCCTCCTGGAGCTTCAATTCCTGAAGATGATGCAAAACTTGATTACTCAATAGCTATAGAATATGAAGGTCCACCAGTTCCTTACAAAGTTCCTAAAGTTGAACCTCTGGATGTGAGTCAGCAATCAATCCCAACTGCCGAACCACTTTCCCACTCCCAAAGATCGACTTCAAATCAAGTTCCTCCTGTAATTGAACCAGTACCTTTGCCCGTATCTTGTATAGCTGCTGGTGTTACAGATTCGCCGCCTACACAAACTCCAAGATTATCAGTAAGCTCAGAGTCTGTAGTGTCTGTCTTGCAAAACCCTGATTTTTCTTCTGCTTCAGCTTCTGCTTCCCCAGGTTCAGTTCATATTCCTTCAAGACAACAGCAAGTTAGTGCTAATGAAGTAAAGAGGGTACCTGTTGTTACTTTTAATACCGTTGAAAGGTATGAGAGCAAAAATATTGTTGATTTGGAGAAGCCATTTTATCCCGATTATGTTGGGGTTTCGAAAGGAAAGAAGAAGAAAAGGAGTAGAGTATGTTACAGGTGTGGCAAAGGGAAGTGGGAAACTAAGGAGTCATGCCTTGTTTGTGATGCTAAGTATTGTAGTAATTGTGTGCTCAGAGCTATGGGATCAATGCCTGAAGGACGTAAATGTGTCACTTGCATAGGTCAACCAATTGATGAATCAAAGCGGTTCAAGTTGGGTAAGCATTCCAGGGTATTATCTAGATTGCTCAGTCCTTTGGAAGTTAAGCAGATAATGAAAGCAGAAAAAGAATGCTCTGCTAATCAACTTCGACCAGAGCAACTCATTGTTAATGGATTCCCTCTCAAGCCAGAAGAGATGGCAGAACTGCTTGCTTGTCCATTACCTCCACGAAAACTGAAGCCAGGTAGATATTGGTATGATAAGGAATCTGGTCTGTGGGGGAAGGTAAATTGCTTCTGTTAGCATTATCTTACTTCAGTAGTTAGAACTTTATAAATTTCTTTGGATTAGTAATCATTATCAAGTGCTTTAAAGCGTCCTCAACTTGCCGATTTTACAGGAGGGGGACAAACCTGACAGGACCATTAGTTCAAACTTGAATTTCACAGGGAAACTCTCTCCTGATGCAAGTAATGGGAACACTGAAGTTTATATTAATGGCCGGGAAATTACCAAACTTGAACTGAGGGTACTAAAAGTAAGTCTGCTGCTTTCAATAGAGTATTAAGTCTAATTATTTCTAATTCTTCCATATGTTGCAAACGTCAACATTTAGTTTGTTGCCATAGAAATGGAATTACGACTACGAAGTTGTTCAAGTTTTACTTCTTTGCCTGTTTGCTTATTGATTGATTCTAAGACTTGTTTGCTAGCATTCAATACTCCTTGTTGTTTTCTATGTTAAGGTTTGCTGTTATTCACACAATGTATGTTGAGTCATTTAGGCTTTGTTTCGCCCTTCCATTCACCTACAACTTATTTTAGTTGCACAATTATAGTTAAACAGTCAACCACAAATTGATAGGATGATGATCTTTCCAAGTCTATTTTCATATCCAATTTCAAACTGGTGGTTCAATAAATGGGATTGTTCCTCGTGTTGTCCATTAGTTATACTATCAACTGCTATTAGCATTAGCTCGAGTAGCAAAGACACTGCTGAGAGAGATATGTAACTGTTTTAAACTCTTATTACTAATAGGAGAAAAAAAAAAAAAAAAAGACATACCGTAAAAATATGTGATCATTCATTTATTTTAGGAAAATGGATGATGAGAATGTCTTACATTTTCCACTATTACTCTACCATCCTCTTACTACCAGATTAGGATAAAATTTCTAGAAGTTTCTTTCCTTGAAAATGATGATTGTGGTGCTTGTTAGCTATTTGACATGGATAAAGTTGCAATACATGCAAATGAGTTTACCTAATGTTGGGCTAGTTTAGGCTTCGTTACTCGCCTAATTTGTTCATTAGGTTGGAATTAGGCTGGTGCAGTGCCTTTTCTATGGTGAATCCTATGATCAGTGTTAGAAAAATGGCCATCTCTGTAACTGAGAATGCCCATTAAGTTGCATTGAAATAGAGGATTAGGCCCTGCCCTTGTTTTTATTTATTTCTGTTGGGAGCTACCTTCTAGGCCAGCCGCATGTGAATGATCAGGTTTTTCCTATAATTCTGTGTACTTAAAATGATCCAAAATACCGTAAATAGGTGCTGCATTAACTCTGTGCTATAAGTGCACAGCAAAACTTTGAGCCATTGCAGATTCATAGATTCTTCCTCCTTTGACTCTCAAATATTTGTGTTTGGACAATGTAAAAAATATCTTGGCAGATATATCATTATCATGAAACTTTTAACTTTAGATCGCTGCCAGATGTGTCTAGTGGACATTATATGGTGTGACAATTATGTCTTGTGTGTTTGTAGTTGATCATCATCATGGAGACAATGTGGCAATGCTTTGCAACAACTCCATTTTGATATTAATATTCTTCGTACATACTTGGTACTCATATAGCTTGATTATGTTCCTTCAGTTGGTTCTCTATAATAAGTGATCATGTTGTCACAATTTGTACCCTCTGCATGATTTGTATTTTAGTCACTCTGTTTTATAGCTAATGGAAACTGATAACCTTGTTTCTTTATTTTTTCAGCTAGCAAATGTACAATGCCCACGTGATACCCATTTTTGGGTCTATGATGATGGGCGTTATGAAGAGGAAGGTCAAAATAATATCCGGGGAAACATTTGGGAGAAGGTATATACCGTAGAAGTCATAAGAAATTGAACAGAGTCATTATTTTATCATCATTCCTTCATGAAACATTGTGGATTTGCTCTTTGCTAGACAGGCATCAACACGGTTTGTTTGTGCACTTTTCTCTTTGCCCGTGCCCCATGGTCAACCACATGGACAGAGGGATGAGGCTAGTAATTATACTACTGTTCCAAATTATCTAGAGCAGAAAAAAGCGCAGAAACTTCTTCTGCTCGGTCTTCAAGGCTCTGGAACTAGCACTATCTTCAAGCAGGTATGGTTTCTCTCTCTCTCTCTCTCTCTCTCCTTCTTCTTCTTCTTCTTTTATTTATTTATTTATTTTTATTTTGATTTGACTATCTCATCTAGATCATATACAAAATATTCATTGAGTAAACTTATATTATTGATGATACCAACTCTATGGACTACCATTGTTACCTTGCTTTACCCCCCAAAACAATATTACCATTATGAATCAACTTAAATTAATGGTTTTCAAAGGTCTTGATATATTGAGCTGACAGAGAACTTTTATCTTAATTTGCCACTCCATCAAATCTGGCTTTGATCTTATGGGTAACATCTTCTCAACATTTCTGTCTCTATGTAATAAATCCAAGATATTTCTCTAGGCCTTAAATAAAATTACTGGAAATGTTACCGATATTGGTTGCGGTATAATGATTTTGGACTGTATTGGACCATATTGGTCTACTCAACATGAATTTGCTTTTCAACGGTTTATAAAAAAATTGACTAATGTCTATGTAAAACATAAATCTGATCAAAATTTTACACTCTACTATCATTATTAATAGGTAATAAAGGAAATATAAATGGAGTACTAATAAACTTAAAAAGTAATTTAAAAAATTTTAAAATTCAGGACGTTTAAGAATTTTGTTATTTTTTATAAAAATTAACATTTACTTCGTAACATCTTTCATTTATTATATATTCCTAAACACGTTGATAATGTTTTTTTTATTATTTGACTCTATTTTTATATTCAAGTCAATATTGTTTTATATGCTAAAAGCCAACCTCATTCCACTTTTTCTGGAACAATGCAATGAGGTTGGGCTGGTGTTACTTGGATCGTGGTAAAATTTGGTATCTTTATGTGGTATGGGTATGCAATATGGGACTTCACTCAGTAAGCGGTACTGGGGGTAGCTTTATTCATATTTTTAGGAACAAAATTCGCTTAGGACTGGTTCGCTATGCATAAACTTCAAACTATATATTAATTAAGAAAAAAATTATGAACTATAAGTGCATAACCAATAGATATAGAGCTTACTAATACGAATTAAGAAAAATATTTTCACCAGAAATTATAAACAGAAAATTTATTGAAGTAGTCTCAACGAAAATTGAAACATAGTCATAAAATGACAGATTCACAAAACACTTCCATAATTCAAAAACTTCTAAGATTATAATATCTTAGTTTTTTATTCTAAAGTAAAGCTAGAATCTAGGGATCAATCCTTTATTTGGCCTTGTTGCAAATCTATATATTTGATTTTGTTAAAATCAGCCAACACTAGAACTAGAAGAAGCCATGTTTACTGTTGAAGTAGGGTTGAAAACATCCAACGATGCTGCATCTTCATCTTTTTCTGTAAAGTCCCATATGCTGTCTGCATAATCACCATTTATTGATTTCCTTCTCAGTTTCTGTAACTCATGATAGAATCATCAATGATGGTCTCTTTAGGATCGATGTCGCGTTTGTCGAAAGGCCCATTCTTATAACTTTCAGTGAAGCGGGATAAGAGGCGAATATTTGAGTGAATGCAAACCCATGCACTCAACCTGTTCCTTTTTACATTGTGATTATAAGAATATGTGCTCCAATTACATTCAGCTGAAGATCTAGTAATCGGTTAAGATAAAACTTTCCTTGCAACTCTTGCTAATTTTGGAGTTTCTGAACCATAGTGGACCACCAATCAATAGAACCATAGTCGTTGCATCAGTTTGAGCCGCAGCCATAGCATATAGGCCTTACGTGAGTTAAAAATGGCAAATTGCTTATGTTGCAATCTTGCTTCATCCTCACTTTCTCCACTATCATCAGTTATCCCATTAAATGCTTCCGTGACACCAAAGATCACTTCTGTATCTTCATTTGGAGGCTTCCTAATTGTTCCCTCTGGTGCTGGTAATACAAGATATCTAGGATCATAAAATCTAGGAGCAAGTGCAAAGGCAAGACAATGCAAAGAAATTGACATCTTCTCCCATCTACCGACCACAATTTCCTCCATCCTTGCATGATCATCAAAATGCTTGTTTTCATTCATTAAACCATCTTATCCATCTTTTCGTGAATCTCACCTGATTTTGGCCCTTAAGCATCACAAAATTTGATTAGTAAATAAATGGTTTTGTAATTTGTGACCATATTCTACACCTCTTCCCAATCACTTATAATAGTTTCCACAACTAAAGCACACGGTTATCTCTTGCTTCACTAAGTCTTTCCAAGATTTAAGCACAACAGCAGTTGCCAAAGCTTCTCTACAATCAATAAGTCCCTTCAACAAAATTAATGTGAAGCAAGTCTGGTTTTTGCCACTTTAAGAAGCTGTAATTTGGAATATTCTCTAAAAATAGCCAATGCACGAGAATGATTCAAGGAGTAGTACTTTCACAATTTTTTCTACTCTCCTATATGTATTGCTTAGCCACTCAAATTCTTTTGCAAATCTTTTAAAATAAGAATAAGGGTGTGAACAACTCAAGGAGATCAAAATATATGTACGTGTACCTTTTGTACCTCTTTCCAAGCAACTTTGTAATTTGCTGCTTTGTCTGTAACAACTCGAATTACATTAGGAGGCCCCACCTTTTCAATGGCTTTTAGTGAATATTGTGTTATTGCATCAACTTATTCGAAATATATACTTAAAAAAAAAAAAAATTTTTAGAGGTAGGGGGCCATGGTCCTTGTCAGTCCCCTGCTTTATTCATCATCATCAATAGAAGCTTGGGTGATATTGAGATGGTGGTGGCTAGGATTTGTTATCAGAGAATTGTCTTTTTTTTTTTTTTTTTTTGTTTGTTTCTTTTTTTTTTTTTTTTTTTTAAATTGTAATATTATTGTTGATAAATCATTTAAAAATTTAAAAGATTTAGAAATAGTAAACTAAGAATTCTTTTTCTTATCAGCAATATATATATTATTTTACTGTTAAGAAGCCTTAATTGGCCAAGAAAGTAAGAAAATTTGTACCCAATTGACCAAAATAAATCACTAAAGTCACAGTTTCACGCTGGATAATGCTATTGACATCTCTAATAAATTTGCCCAATAACTTGTTTTTGGGCTGCAAAAGAATAGTCTAGATGAATATAACGAAAATGTCCAAATGGTATGCCTTATTTTTGGGCCAGTGTTGGGCGACTCTGATGGCCTAACAGTCAAAAAGATAGATAAAAGCAAAAATACCTTTGACAGAGTGCCAAATGTAAAAGAGCATTTCAGTGTGCAGCTTCTGCAATGTTTAAGCAACACAAATGTGAAATGATTTAAATTAAAACTCAGTCTCAATTTGATAAGCTATCACTAAACAGATTTCAGAACATATTTTGCTGATGCAACTTGTTCAATAGATATTTCTCTCTTTTTATAAGTATGCTGAAATCCTTGTATCACTCCACAGGCCAAATTTTTGTATGGAAATAAGTTTACTGGAGAAGAGCTGCAGGATATCAAGCTGATGATCCAGAGTAATATGTACAGATATCTTAGCATTTTGCTTGATGGACGGGAACGCTTTGAAGAGGAGGCAATGTCTAGGATAAGGGAGTTAGGTTACCAAGATCAAAGCTTGGGGGCAGGTAAAGTTTTCGTTTTATTCATTTTTTCCTGCACTAAAATCGTTGATGTACTTTCATTTATTGGGTGGTCAAGTGCTTCCTTAATATTTGAAATTTGGTATAAACTTGGGTGGTGTATGATTCTTCACTTGTTCATTTATTGAGTAATCTGTTGCTGCCTTAAGTTGAAAGTTGGTATAAGCTCATTTTGTGTATAAGGCTCCAATTATGTTGTGTTTTTAGGTTGGTTGCTCTAGCATATGGCTGTTAAGGCCAGCCAGCTGTGATTCTGTTGTGTTTGTTGCTCTTGTTTGCCCATATGTTCACATTTTGGTGTGACATATTTTAAAACTAGAGAACTGTGGTTTTAAAAATGATATTTTCTTGTTTCATCAATTTGGTCTTGGACATGGAACCTAGTTGGTCATCATGTCTTTTATGAAGAGCACCTGATTTTTATTTCCCAAAATCAGATTGCACGTCTCTGATTCTCTAATCTGTCTGTGATAATACTTTCTTCTTCATTACTTTGAGCTAATCTGTTTGCGATAATACTTTCTTCTTCATTTCTTCGAGAAGTCCCTTTTTCAATTTTGTCATTTCCTTTCAAGTAACCCAAAATAGTGTAAATTCTGGAATTCAGTCAGTTGTTGCAAATGGCGTGTTTTTGGTAGCCACTGCTAATACGAATTCTCTAGCTGCTTATACTGCAGATGTCATAAATGGGATAACAACAACACAAGTGCTTGAACTTTTAGTGTCTTGTTATCTAAGTAATCAAAACTTTGTTTATGCACACACAACCAAATTCATGAATGGGAAACAATTTTCCTATGCAAGTGCATTTGATGAATATAGGTAGATATATTTACCTAAAGGCATGTTTGAGGTGCAATGCGCAGTCAAATTGGCTCTACTGCCTCTACTGGAGAAAGATGGGCTACCCCTCACAAGCAATTCCTTAGTGCCTAAATGCATTCCTTCTTCCATGAACAGGGCCCACAAAAGATCCTCCTATTTTTTCACCTTTGATTGGCTCTCCTACCACGAATGGCCACCATCACCAGACTTGGAACTTGCTATCTACTTGAATTTGTATTCACATGCTGCTGGGAAATCATTAGAAATACCATTGCTGCTGATGGGAACTCATTAAACTCTCACCAAACAATCAGAACTTGAGCTGCTCGGTGTGGTACTTCTGTTTCTAGAATCCATGTCTTCGCCCCCCCACCCCTGCGCCGCCGAAAAAAAAAAAAAAAACCACGAAAACCTGTTTTCCACTCAAAACAATTCTAGTATAATGCTGAAAGAAAATCTTTCTCTATACTTCCCTTATCTGCGTTGCTTTTGGTTTCTTTTTATTGTCCCCTGTATTTACATAAACAATAAAGCTGGGCCTATATCACCTCATCTTTCCTGAAATTTGCTCAAGTTCTCAATCGTATGTAGTTTAAGAATTCACTTCAATCTTGTCCTGTGACTTTGACATTACATTCGTTGCAATTCTGTCCTCATTCCCTGAGCACAATCCCTTGTGTATGTGGTATGATGCAAATCCTATTCCTAGGGATTTCAGGAGTTCTTGTTTTAGGAAACAATATATAACTATAGAAAGTAGGAATTGTAGGGATTTGTGATAGTGTATTCCTAATTAGATTAGGATTCCTAATCCTAATATTCCTAAGGTTTTCAAACACTACAAATAGGCCAAGTTATTTACGTTACAATCAGACTTTAATATGAACATTATTTGAGAATAATACAATTGAGAATTAGTTTCTCTCTTCTTTAGGGATTCGTTCCATGATTGTGTTTGTTCTTTTTGGTTCTGCATCACAATAACATGCTGTAAGTATGTTAATATGGATGGCCTACACTCGCTAGTTGAAACAAAACTGCTAGAATTAATAAAACAACAATGATTTGTTAAATGAAATCACCCTTAAAGCTACACCATTTGGATCAATTTAATAAAGATTCTCCTTGACACCATAAACAGCAATCTTCTCCTATTCTTATCATTGTTTTACTTCAACCTTGTGTTTATGAGAAACTCTTAATCTGAGCTCTCCTTTTTACACTAATTTTTCTGATCCAATCTTCCTTTTCATTGTTTTTTCTTGTATTTGAAAATTGAGGTTTGAGTATCCGAACATTGAAAATGAAATTGTTCTTTAGCTGATTCTTCTTTGCAGACATTAAGCTGCCTTTTTTCGAGGGGGTTGATGATAAGTGCTTAACAAGCTGGCATCATTGGGGGTTTCACCCATAGCGAGAAACAGCAAGAGGGCTATTCGGGTGCTGCAAAACTATTTCCTTCACTCTTTTGATTCTTGTGATTCTCAACATTATGATAAAATTTAAGGGTGCAGAAGATGTTTATGGGTGTTTCGAGATAGGGAAAACAATTTCAATGGGTTGGAGCTGGAGATCCATGTGGCAGCCGTGGGATTCAGTTTCATTTCTAAAAAATTATTACATTGACTTCCTTTCTTGGAATTTCTTGACGATTTATGATTGATAAAAGGTTGAGGGCGGGTGTGAAGAAGTGTTTGGGTTGTCGGCATCTAAAAAGATCGAGATTTGATGCTGGAATAGTTGCGCTGTCGAAATCCCTCCTTCACACTCTATCTTGACAGTCTCGCTTCTTGCAAGGTCATTTTTAGAAGAACAAAACTTTTGCATTTGTCTTATTTCAAAACTAAGCTTCCTTTGACTTTCAAAAACATTAGCCCAAAAACGACATCATTTTCATGTTTGATAAATTAGTCTGTCAATGTGTACAAGTACATACTGCATCTGCAATGACACATGCTTTAAATACTTAAAATAGAATTGCAATTATTGTCAAAGCTGTATAATAAAATTGAAACAAACTCTTAAATGGGATAGAATTGAAAATTCATGCAAATGGATAGATGAATTGATCATGCCATAAAGTTTAAAGGCGCTTCCCCTCAAAAAAGAAAAAAGCAAAAAGCAACTTTGTTTTTTTGTCGAGTCTGTGCTTTGTGTTCTTTTCTTGGTTGTCAGAATCTTAACATTAGATTGATGCTTAAAAGCTTATTGACCTTTTTCACTTTTTTCTTTCAAATAGAGTTAAATGTTTCAATATGTTATAAATATCAGGAGTTAATTTGGTTACTAGCTGATATCTTAAGTTTTTTATAATAGTGTTGATTTGGTTTAAGAATTAAAACCATTTGAATTTTTTTAAAAACTATTATTATTATTTATTTTTTTGCACCTCAACTCACTCAGGTGTGTACGTGCCTAGGGTCAAAGACCCTTTTGTACCTTTACTAACTATGGGTAGAATATAATTGAAGTTTAGAGCTGTGTTTTTTCTTCCATTATTTGAAGATTACATAGGCAGAAACTTAACTTCTTTTGTATGTAACACATGGTAAGAAATGCTATTTTTTCATAGAAAAAGCTTAATAGCTGAATTGTGAAAGAGAAAGTATAGAGATCAATCATTGAAGAACCCAAGGACCTTAACTCTGATGAAAGAAAGAAGATCATCTTCAATGATGAGGAGGATTACTATTTTTCCATGAGTGGCTTTCAGACTAGACTTAGGGCCTTTTCTGATTTTATTTTATTTTATTTTTTTTGTGCGTGTGTGTATTTGTCGTGAACTATGTTCAATTGTCATTGTTTATATTTTGGCACTTCTATGCACCTTGCTTTTGGTTGAACTGCTCTACCAGCGATCTTCTTTGTAATATTGTAGCTCGAGTGCAGTATTTGGAGTTTGTTATTATGATCTTATGTACTAGTTATTTCTTTCAAGTCCAGTGTGTTCATGACTTGACTAATGTCCCTGTAAAAAGTGTATGCACATTTGATAAATATGCATCTCATTATCCTTGTGATACTGGCACCGATTCAGTGTAGAGAAAAAGTAATGAAATTGTTATGGTGGCTTTAACATGTATTGATAATTTTAATTTTGCTTCAGATGGAGAAGTTGACTCTAGCGAAACCAATCAGTGTATCTATTCCATCAACCCAAGACTGAAACATTTCTCTGACTGGCTGTTAGACATTATAGCCACCGGGGATTTGGATGCATTTTTCCCTGCAGCAACACGTGAATATGCTCCATTGGTTGAAGAGGTGTGGAAGGATCCTGCTATACAGGAAACATATAAAAGAAAAGACGAGCTTCACTTCCTTCCGGATGTTGCCGAGTATTTCTTGAGTCGGGTATTTTCATCACATTTTTCCTACTTATCTCATTCAGAGAAATGATGTTGATTACTTTTAGCAATTTTATTCCGCAATTGATAATTTCAACAAAGCTTTTCTAATAACCAATTTTTCTTATTTTGTTTTCTATTTCAATATCCCTGTGATACTTTTCTGATTGGGCCTGAACCTACTTAAATTCAATTGAGATTGATACTGACTGGTATATGATGCTTCTTCTTTCTTTCAGGCTGTTGAGGTCTCAAGCAATGAATATGAACCTTCGGAACGTGATATTCTCTATGCAGAAGGGGTTACCCAAGGGAACGGTTTGGCTTTCATAGAATTTTCTCTTGATGATCGCAGCCCAATGTCCGAAACATACACGGATAATATAGAAGCTCCCCCACCTCTGACAAAGTAATTCTTTCTAATCACACATAATAACCACTTTAGCTCATTAAATAAAAATCCTGTTCAGATATGATGTTGCGTAAACACTCGAGTTGGGAAGACTGGAAAACTACCACAGTTTCTTTTTCCCTTTTTTTTCCCTGAATACAAAGACTAATATTTGATTACTTGATGTGCACTGTTTTCAGATATCAACTTATTAGGGTAAATGCGAAAGGGATGAATGAGGGGTGCAAATGGGTGGAAATGTTTGAAGATGTGCGTGCGGTGGTGTTCTGTGTATCCCTCAGTGACTATGATCAGATGTGGCTAGCACCTGAGAATAGCGGCAGTGGATCACTTCTTCAGAATAAGATGATGCAAAGCAAAGAGCTGTTTGAGACTATGATCAAGCACCCTTGTTTTAAGGATACTCCATTTGTCTTGGTACTTAACAAATATGATCTTTTTGAAGAGAAGGTTAATCGGGTGCATCTAAGTGCTTGTGAATGGTTCGATGATTTCAGTCCAGTGCGGCCTCATAACAACAATCAAACACTCGCTCACCAGGCATACTACTATGTTGCGATGAAGTTCAAAGATCTCTATGCTTCCCTCACAGGTCGGAAGCTCTTTGTGTGGCAAGCTAGGGCTAGAGACCGTGTGACCATTGATGAGGCATTTAAGTACATAAGGGAAGTTCTCAAGTGGGATGAAGAGAAGAAAGAAGATAATTACTATGGTGGAGCTGAGGAATCATTTTACAGTACGGACATGAGCTCGTCACCATTTGTCATGGTCGAGTGATGTGGTTTTGAATGATTATTTGCATTTGCTTTATAGATAGAGAAAAATGTATAAAGAAGGGTATTATTATGATCATTCACAATAAGGCAACTTCTTTATTTGTATTATGCTGTTGTTGTAACATCAATTCTGTGATAGTATTGGAGGGGCGTCTCAAAAATCAAGGTAATCTTGTGTGCAATTTCATCAAGGAGATTTTGTGCTAAAATTTGAAACAGATTTGGGAATTCTTTTAGGAGCAAGCCATAAGGAATGTGTGTTTGTGCAGCACAAATCTAATTCCTTTGATTTTTTTTTTAATTAGGTCAGTTTTATGAAATTCATTTGGAATTTGAGAGAATTTAGAGTTTTCTTGATATGTAAGGACAGTTTTTCCCTTTCTGTTATAATTTATAATTAAAATAATTTCAAATTAGATAGAAGACTTAAATACTTTTAAATTTTACAAATTAATTAATATGTTTTTAAAATAGCAGGAATTGACTAATTTGTTGTATCAAAGAGCAAATCAGTAATTTACTCAATGAGATTCACTCTTTAGGCATATCATATCATTTGATAGCTTAACTTACAAAAATACAATCAAATTTGCGTGTTATTGCAATATCATTCTAAAATATTTTAATTTTAAAATTTAGATATATTATCAACTTAGATTTAAAATTCACTTTAGATTTATAATATAATAATATAAAAATGAGACCCGCTAAATTAACTAGGGTTAATTTAACCCAAGTTTTCAAAATTTAAGAAATGCATCATTTTGATCTTGAAAAACAAAATCCCTAATTTCCTTTGCAACTCCATCAGCTCCTTTTCTTCCTTGTTCCCTCGATAATCTCCTCTGTATCAAATTTGGGTTTCTTCTTCCACGTTTCCCTTCTCTCTTTGATATTATTGTCTCTGCCAAACTTAACACACAATAGTAGTAAATGAACTTGTGAGTTGTATAGCAGTTGGCCAATAACAATTTTTCTTTGAATAATTGTCCTTTTCCTTTCTATATTTGAGCTTCGATCAATCCCACCCAGGTCTATTTTAACTTGTGAGTTGTTTTAACTTTTTATTTTATTTGTGAGGTCAGAAGTATGTTTTTGGCTATTTGGGTTTTTTTTCTTTTTTTTTTTCTGACTCTCTTTCTCCCCATCTATGACTCATTGCCAGTAGTTTTCTTTTTCATAGTCATGCAATTGCTTCCTCTGCATTTCATTTTCTTGTTTGATAATATATTTAATTTTTTTTCCTCTTTTCTTTAATGGGTAATTATCTAATTATTTATAGTATTAAATGGAGAATTTTGTTTCTGGATATAATGACGGGTGTTTTATATTTGTGTATTTTGTAGTTTTTATCGAATGATTTATCAAGTGATTATTATTATTATTATTATTTTGGCATTTGTTGGTACTTGATGGAGCTAGAGCTGCAAACGAGATTAAAAATTTTATTTTTTAAGATCAAAACCGTCCATTTCATAAATTTTAGGAGGTTGGGTTAACTCAAGTTGGTTTGGTGGGGCTACTTTTATGTTATTATATTGCAAATCCTAAGTGAATTTTAAATCTAGATCGACAATATATTTAAGTTTTAAAGCGGGGGTGCCGGAATGACAAAGCTTATTTTAGAGTGATATTACAACAACACGTAATTTCAGGTTAACCCTCATTTGATTTTATGGAGGTTTTATGCTCACAGTTCCTTAGTTACCAGGTTCATCTTTTAAGCCTGCTTCAAATTAGGATGACTAATATCCAATAGACTGAATATGTTTTACAAGGAATCGGAGTAAGATAGGACGATTTTTTCCGAGAAATTTCCAAAATACACACTATAGGATCTTTCTATTGAATCAATCCTAATAAGAATATATATATACCTTAATAAGAATATATATATATATTATTATATATATATAAATTATATATATATAATATATTATATGTAATATATATACTAATATATATATATATATTTGATAGCTCCCAACTTAATGATAACGTGTACCAAAACTAATAATATTTCTATTTATACCATATTACAGTTTTGGTGGGCTATGGGCTTAAGGTATGGATTCACAATTACTTTAAGCTTGAGCCAATTAGTTTGGCCTCTAAATATTAGAGGTCGTTTCTTAATTAATTTAGAGGTTGTTACAAGAAGAGATCCAAAGCTTTTTGTATGATCTTCACGATCAAGAATTGTTTACCTAAGTAGTTGTACAACTAAATGGTTGAGGCTGCAATACTTTGGTAATCACCTGATACTCTATAAATGTAACGTCCCATTTTTCTATTGAATCGAGTCGTTACTTAGAGTCGAGTCGGGCTGATCCAAAACCCGGTTCGATCCATTAATATCGAGTCCATTAGTAGTCTAGAGTGGGCTAGAATGAGATGTAATTGCACACTAAGCGAAAAGAAGTGGAGCTTACTTGTGAAGGAAACAAGATCAAAAGGAAGAAGGACCGACGGAGATAGGTATAAAGTTGACGGTATTAAAGTTTGTACCATTTTGACACTTGAAGGCACACACAATTTGGTAATTTTCACAAAAAATACATGATATTTTATATATCTCTATCTATCTATCTTTTCTTCATGAGCTTCACTTCTTTCCTCTACTGTTTCGCGCGAGTCGCGCTCGCGAGAGAGTAGGAAGATTTTAATGGGATTGCGAGAGCGAGAGCGAGCTTCTATCATCCAAGTAAGTAAAACTTCTTGAATTTCAAGAGAGCGAGAGCGATTTGGTGATGATTTTAGAGTATTCAAAGAATTCTCATGTATAGGAGAGGGTGAGTCAAAGGTAGAAGAAAAGGAAGCTTAAAAAGAAGAGCTTAACTTTTTGAGATGATGTGCCTACTCTTTAGTTAATTCATTTCCTACATGAATAATTTTGGGATGTGTTGAAATGAGATGAAATGTTGGCTTAATGTGAGTGAGAAAGACTGAAAATGGCTCCGAAAAAGCATGAAAGATGAAATGAAATAAATGAAGTAGAGATGACGTTCATGCTGAAACAGGTTTTTTGCTGGAAAATTTTACTAATAACTTCACCTTGATGTTGACCCTATTAATGAGGAATTATGAATGTCATAGAAGAGTTATTTGTTCCTTCTATGTTTAGCTTACATGGATTTTGAATCAGACCCAAATCGGAGTTAATTATATTGGAGAGATTGACCAAAAGAGTAACAGACTCGCGCAAGGCTGGAAACACATCGCTGCGCTCGCGAATTTCCTTTGCGCGCTCAGAAGGCGAAATTGTGTCTGGAAACTCTCTGACTCTCATTTGCACTCTCGCGCTTCTGAGGAGCATGGCCGCCTCGCGAATTGTTCGATGCTGCTTTTGGACTGCATTCTATCTATATTAATTCCTGTTGCTCACTTATATGAACTCCCAAGTCAGTTTAAATAACAAAAAAGACAACATTAGAAAAACAACAGCAAGCATGCATACATGATGTGGAAATGAGGTAAACAACTATGGTGTATGAAGTTTGAAGCAATGCAATGTATTCCTTTTCTCAAGCTGTAATGGTCTATCAATCATCTTTAAAGAGCAGAAAAAGACAACAGAACACAGTATATAACACAAATGCAAGCATGCAAATGGTGTGAAACTAAATATGATACAAGTTGTCCCGCTTTGGCGAGGCTATTAGCATACAGGTAAGCAGTAAATTTTATGAAATGATGAAGCAGTTAATTTGCATGACACAGAGCATCGCAAATTATGAACACACAGTTACTAGAGTTGTTTTATATCTATTGACATACCATTAATATGCTCCATTGAGGTTAGGTAGAACCATGTAGATAAGGCTAATGTCGTCGACATAGAATACAGATCTGCGCCCCATACAGTTTGGTACTCCGGCTACAGGCCGCGAGTGGATATGATTAATAGAGGCCATAGCAGCAAGCATACAGTTTCATTCCAGTTTCATATCAATTTTTTTCTTATCACTTCGGTTTTCCACAGTTATATTGACTACAAATTACATAATCATACAGTATAATGAGCAGCAAGTACGATAATGAAAGTATCATGATATGTGTGCTTACATTCCATATGTGAGGACATGTTTATTTCTACATATGTATGGAATGAAATAAACATATGTATGTGCTTATATGTTTATTTCTACATGTTTATTCATTGAGTTTTAATGAAAGTTGCAGAATGCATACAACATAAAGAACACCAGGTAAGATCATGAAAGTATAATGCTATATATGCTTACAAGTTTATTTATTTAATTCTTAAGGAGCCATACATGTATGAGATGTTATTAATCATAACTTATATAATGTAACTAAAAGTGCATAAGGCATACAACATAATGAACAGCAAGTAAGAAAATGAAAATATACTGTTATGTATTCTTACATGTTTATTGATTTCATTCATACAACATAATGAACAGTAGGTAAGATCATGATAGTATAATCATGATATGTGTGATCCAAAGGTTCATGTAAAGGAGTTTATGAAGATAATTAGAAACTCAAATATTATGTTAGAATTAGATAGTATATTCTTGCATATAAAAATACATTATGTTGAAAATTCAATGATTCTAAGATTTTCAAATGGCTTTTATGAAATTTGTAGTTAAGTAAAGTTGACATCACACTTTTGTTTAGTATGTGAATTAGATCACACTGAGTTTATACTACAAGCGCGTCGATTGAGCACGCGTAGGTTGAAGAATCGTGGTTGCTACTTTGAAGAGCGTGAAGAGTACTGAGAGAGAGGCATGAATGCTAATTGGGTTTAGATGAAGTCACTATAATAAAGAATTATGGCATGTATTAAGATTTATGGCATGTATAATTATTACATTGTTAGAGCTATGGTTATGTAAATATAAGTGAAGCAGGTAATTAATTTTGGTTAGCTTAGTTGAGATAAGAATAATACTTATATATTATATCTATATATATATTTACTATAGTGTGGGTATGATTAGGTCCATGAAGACTTGATAAGTGAGATCCATAGAAAAATATTAGATGCTATAGGATTTATAACAGTTTAGTGACTATATAACATAAAGTGTTGTTGTGTATGATGTATTTAGTTTGAGATGATTAAAAGTTTGAAGTTTAAGAGTGGGAATTTAGCATACAGGGATGATTAATCAGACATGACAGGAATAAAGTTTCAACACAGATTGTAAGGCGTCTGCTCTCGTCATGTCGGTAACGGGTGGGACCGGGAAGGG